TATGAATTATTTGTAACAAACAAAACGTTATAATAAATAACTAAACAAATGGTGAGTAGAGAGACAATGCGGTGCAGAGGACTCGACACTATCGAAAAGCACCCTCAAGACAGCCACGGATACAGCCGTCACAACAGATCAGACAACACGTGGCACAGCATTGGCCACAATCGGCACACCCGGCGCCACAATTCACACCATTACAGCACATATGACATGAGTGCGGATCACAACAGCGACACCAATGATGTCCACCTCCTCTATCAACAGCCAATTCATAGTCGGTTACATTACTGGAGGGTTGAGCGCACACAACGGGTATTGTATTCACAGAATATTCCTGAGGCTGTTGTGGTGTTTGTGTCAACAAACCGGTGCTCTCCTGTGGATCCGTTTGGTCGATGTCTCGCACGTCATAACCTCCGCCTCCCTGTCTGTTACCCATCACTGATCGGACACTGTGTTTGAAAATACTTTATAAATTGAAAAATATTTCATTTTGCAATGAGTCACACCTAACTTGAAGTTACATTTTATACAGAAATAAAAAAGTTAAATTAGATCATATGCTTTACAGTAATTAATGCAACTATACATGTATAACCGTAAAGGTATTCCATTGATAGTATCTAGGTAACATTGTCTTTACGATGAATATAGTGTACAGGCATTGTTTATGTTGTCAGTATTTACAAATAACTAATGGTAACCAACTATTATATTGTCGTTATATACGTGTTATTATTGAAATACAAGTTCTGGTAAAATATCGTTGTCAATTAATACAGTATTAGACCATTTGGGTGAAGTAGCAGTTGTGTGAACTAACCATTTGTATGAACAATTTAGAGCTATTATTATACAACATTCAATGCATTTAAATAAAAAAAGTTTTGCCAAATTATAATTATATTCTAATTGTTGATATCATTGCATGAAATTTTTATAATTTTTAACATATTAAAATTTATAAATATTTGACATCCGGGACAACGACTGTATCATTAAATGCATACTTAATCCCATTGAAGGCCATTAAAGAAGATTAACAACACATCCATTGGATCGCTATTTGGCTTTTAATTCAATATTTTAGTTATAAATACATATAAAGTAGTCAACAAATAATTTTGTTTATTATATTGATTCAATTATATCTATCTTTTGATAAAACCATTAATCCTTTTGTTTTTCACATATTTTTGGTTAAAAACTGCGATATTTTAAACACAATATTCAGTAAATGTCGAGAAAAGTTGAAGAAGTATTTTAAAACATTAAATTACTATTTATTTTTAAAAACATATCAATCGTACGATTTGTTCGAGTGTTTGATTGAGTAGTGATTTAATTGTTGTATTAATTATTTGTTTCAATCATTTTGTGTCCAAAAATGCCACAAATCTATAGTAAATCGTCTTTCGATAGATTTGGTGACGATTTGTGCGAAGAGTTGTTGTCTTTCCTCACATTTGAAGACCGATTCCGTTGTGAATGTCTATCAAAACAGTGGCGAAGACTTGTATTCAATACACAACAAAATATTGATTACAATGAAAGCAACAATTGGTCTGATTTATTAACATTTGAATTAATACTCAAAAAATGTCGAAATATCACACATTTTAATCAAATGTCTGCCGGTGTAACGGATCCTAAGCTGGAATTAATTATAAAACATTGCCATAAATTGCAATCAATTTCTATCGATTGGCGAGAAAATAGTGTTGAAATGATTGATAAATTTTTTGCAAAGTTTGCCAAACAATTAAAATCAATCAATTGTTTCTCAATAAGGAATCAGTTAATACAGACAATGATGAAGAATATGAAGAATTGCGAAAATTTACTTCAAATTAATAATTACGAGACTTTGATTTCACTTATAATTAGTGATAAAAATGAAGTTTATTTTAAAAAGATGTCAGACTTTCGGTTCACATATAGACCCGAAGACACGACAAGAATCGCTGCTTTCGTTGATTGCTATAGAAATACATTGAAATCAATTGATATAACAATTTACTGCAACTCGTGTGACGACAAATCGATTGAAATATTAATGAAAGGATTGACACAAATGGTAGAAATGAGAAAACTGTGTCTTTCTGTTGGATCAAACGAAATGTCAGCATTGAATGCAATGAAACAAATTGGTGTCAATTGTCGTCAACTACGGGAACTAAGTGTTGGTATATCGGTCTATGCCTCGTATATAATGTCCGATATTATCAATCAATACTTCTCACGAATACAACGACTGAAGATATGGTCACATATACCAAACCATTACAACCTCCACGTTATAAGTGACGCCAATATATCATTGAATAATGAATGCAAACGATTAACACATTTAAAGATAAAGACGTGCGGAAACAACAATACTTTTGACACCAATTTCTTTACTCAAATCGACAAACGTTTCCCAAAACTAAGAGTTATTTCCATAGATATAAAGGAAATCAATGAAGAAGTAATCAATTGTTTATCACAATTGAAACATTTGACAAAAGTATTTATTTTAATAAAAAATTCTACGCCAATGGTTTACAGACAAGGACTTCGTGACCAATTGGTTAAAAACTGTATAAATCTCACCATGAACAATTGTACTTTATTTTGATTTATTTTAACACAACTATGAGTTCCTTAATTGAACCCATACTTCAATATGAATTAGTTTTACGCAAATTGTATTTGAAATGTGTTTAACAATACGAAAACTTTTGTCAAATTAGTGGACATAAGAGACAGCAGTGGATGTGATAGTAGTCGGCGAAGGACTGGTCTCTCAACACATCTTTTTGTCCCTCATTTATGTCTCTGTGTTTCCCAACCCCTGTATTAACCAATGCTTTATATTTTAATTGCTTTTTAATTATATGAATTAATTACTAATACATAATATTATTAATATTTCCTATACTTCGCTAATATTGGTTACAATTTGTGCACAACTTCTGGATCTGAGACTCAATTCAGTCATTATAAGAGACTATACTTTGAATTCATTGTCAAGACTGACATAAATTAACAATTATTTATTACAAACAATTACTTTTTTATAAACAAATTGTTAATAAATTACTTAAAACTAAACTTTATATAATAATAATTATTGTTTACTAAATCAATAATATATATATACAGTAAAAGAATATATGATATTATCATTAATATTGATGTAATCAATACATACATTGGTAAATGAGAATTATAACTAACCTAGACCAATTTTATTACATTTTATTAATTGTAATTAATTAATTTAGAGAGAGAGAGAGAGAGAGAGTTTGACAGACGTTATTGTTGTTGACGTTATTAATGTGAGACATAATAAGCGCTGAGTTTTGTGTTCAAAACAACAAAACAAAACAAATGTTTGAATGAATTGTAAAACACGTGTGAATTGTGTCCACACATCACACCATCGATGACCACATTATCACTCGTTATGACAGACAACACATCACCCGATGGCCAGTC